TTAATCTATATCGATTTTAAAATTTTTTATTTTAATCTATATCGATTTTAAAATTTTTTATTTTAATCTATATCGATTTTAAAATTTTTTATTTTAATCTATATCGATTTTAAAATTTTTTATTTTAATCTATATCGATTTTAAAATTTTTTATTTTAATCTATATCGATTTTAAAATTTTTTATTTTAATCTATATCGATTTTAAAATTTTTTATTTTAATCTATATCGATATATGTATATGTTTACTGTATTAGGAAAAAAATCTGTATTACGTACGTACGTACGTATTTACATACGTATCAGGTATTTAAAAAATTATGTGCGTAAATAGTAATTATCTGTTATACAAAAAAATACTGTAGATAATTAAGGCATTTAACAAAAGAATTATTATTAAATATATTAAAATCTTACCTTTTAGCTAAATTACAAAAAAAAAGTTTGATATATAGCATTTACTCAATATATCTATATATTTTTTTTTTTAAAAAAAAAATGCTATTTTATAACTTTCTGTATTTATAACACTATACATATAATATATCATATTAATAAAAGTACAAATCTTTAGAATATATGAGCGTAATTAAATTCTATTAATGGATAAATGAATTCTTAAACTTTTTAACTTCTTCCCATAATTTAGTTCCGACAGAATTTTTGCTGTTACCACGTTCACCTATAGCGGCATCAACGGATTCAGGATCACTTAATGAAGGCACGTTTTCCAGTAAACATCTCATTGTTTCGACTCTTTTATACCTTGCAGCAAATACAAAAGCATTTGGAAAACGAGTGTCTCGTGGCATGGTTTCAGTACCATAATTAATCAATAGTTTAACGAACACAGGATCATCAGCTAACGCTATGGTAGCAAATAATATATTTGGAAGTTTGTACATTGACTCATTTTCATTTGAATCAGAATTAAGACTATTATGTGTTGATGTTGAAGATATTGATTGTTGCATCAATTGTTCCCGGGATGGTTTAGGTCGTGGTATCCTAATATTTGGATTTGCACCTTTATCAAGTAGAGACCTTACTTGCATTATATCGGGCAGTGAACCAGCATTTAGTTTCAATTCTTTAATAAAAAGTCGTTTCAAAGTACTGTCTAAGTCATCTCGTGGGATTTTCTTTGGAGATTGTGGAGGGGTCAATGGAGCAAGTACTACAGGTGTATATCTCTTGGCAATGTCACACACTATACCATTTCGGGCTCTGAAGAAAGGTTCAGATAGTTTTAAAGTTTTCCAAGCAGCGTTTTGGCCATTTATAACTATATGATACAAACAAAAAGAAATAGGATAAACATAAAGAATATAAACATAAAGAAATATAAACATAAAGAAATATAAACATAAAGAATATAAAGAAAATAAACATAAAGAATATAAAGAAAATAAATTAAAAAGATGTATATGTTACCTGTAGCAACTAAAAATTTCTTTAATGATATTGGATCATAAAAGATTGGTGGATCAGGTAATGCGGGACCGAAAGAAGGAACACCTTCTTTACACATTATTTCAACACTATATAATATGAATAATTATTAATATTAATATGTTGCTGGTGTATTTATATTATGTTGTCGGTATATTTATATTATATATTTATATTATATTTATATTATGTTGTCGGTATATTTATATTAAAATGAGACTCATACCGATAAGCTTCCTGTCTATTGTTCAAATGTACCGGGTGGACTATTACGTACACATGTAAGAATTGTGAACGTATTGCGAATGGAGTAAATGGTCTCGGAACGTCTTGAAATACTATGCATACGACATCTAAACGATAAAAAATAAAAATAATAAAAAATAATGATCATAATAATCATAATAATAATAATAAATTAATTAATTAATGATAAAACTATTACTTATTCATCTTTTTTTTCAAATTTATTTTACAATTATAAAACTTACCATTTCCCAAATGCCTTTTCCTCGTAATTTGATGTTTATTTTTATCTTCGAACGGTAACATGGTGCTCACGTGATACATTATCTCAAAATCTTTCCATGTTCCAGAGTCATAAACTGAATATTTACCGGAGCCACCAGTTTTTGTATCTAATCCACCACCGAAGCGTTGCCATCCCAACAGTTCAATTTTATTGCCTAACAAATTAAGGAATCTTTCATATTCTGGTGACGCAGTTGTGTTTGCAAACCATTCTTCTTCAGATACTTGTGACGGAGCTTGATAAAGAACACCAATCTTATATTGTTTTTGAAGCTAAATAAAATAAGTAACTATATAGATTAGTTAATGAAATGAAACCTAATTATTCATGCACGATTCATGCACGTACCCTTGATTCATCTAAATTTAATAGTTCTTTACTTAATTCTGGTGTGGTTATAAATTTTGTTAAACGGTGTGGTACAAAATTCCTGTCAATCATTTTCAATAGATCCTCCCATATTGGTTCACCAAAGTAAGCTTGGCCTGCTAAAATACCACGATGATCAGGAACCTATAACAAACCAAAATTTTAATATTGCAATATACATATGCATGCACAAGTGTTTTTTAACGAAGTAGATACGTACGTACCTCTTTTTTGCGAACAATGTATCTATACCAATATATATCACCGACATTGTGATACGTATCAGGAATAATTGAAACTATAACAGGACCATATGATTCAATAGTTCCTATAAACGTGGGATGGTCTAAAAAAACGAAACGAATTAGCATTCAGTTTAAGAGAATTCATATTAAGCAAAAAAAAAAAAATACCTCTTTCATAAAAAAATCGTCGATACCAATTCGCTTCAATGTCTTGATGTTCAACCTGGTAGTCTGTATTCGAAACTTCAGCAATATTATTACAAGTTAAGAATTGCGCGGCTATTGGCAAATTATTCTTAAAAAAAAAAAAAAAAAGAAAAGAAAAAAATAATAGAAAATAGACAACAGAGTTTATTAAAGTTTATTAACTACAGTTTATTTCAACACTTTATGCATTATTTGCGATAGTATACTATGTAGTAACTTGAATTTTTTTTATTTACCTTTGCATTCCTTGTATTGAAGGAAGTTGTTGAAAAACAAGATGTTTCGCTAGAATCACTCAAGTGTCTATTCATATTAATTATTCTTTATTCTTTATATAAACGGATTTATAAAAACGGATTTATATATACGTATGGAATACGTATATGGATATGGGTATATATATATATATAGGAATTTTGTTAAGAATAATAATGTTTTTTCTTTAAAACGTTAGAAAATTAGAAAATTGAAAAAGTTTTCATAAATTATTTGGTTTATAATAAAAATTGATAAGGGTAAAAATTCATTATTTAATATACAGAACAGAAGCAGAGCTAAAAGAAAAAAATTAAAATAAAGGTAACCATCTTTAAATTAGTTGTGTCGATTATTTAAAATAGTTTCGTAAGTTTGTAGCACTACCCTGCCTTTATTCTGTTTTTATCACAAATTTGTTCAAAACTGTGTGTATGCCGAGGATCGTTATCATCACGTTGTTTCTCATGACAAAAAAATATCAATATTGAATACCTTATAAATTTTTACCCTAATAAGTATTTAACATAATTCTAAAAATGTATGCTGACATAGAGTTATATTAAATGTAACCTTGAAGTGTGAATCCTACTGTATTAGCACGTACGTACATAACACATTAATATTCCATGTGTGTTTCACGAAATTTGTTTGTATGGACTGTTTGCTATTTTTGTCACAAGGTAATAATTCTATTGGTCCGAATAAGATTTAAGACTAAACCATGTTAAAAGTTCTCTGGTTTCAAGCTAGCTAAGATAGTAGCCAAGAGTGAATAATTCAAATTCGAAATTAATCCTATATAGTGATTTATGCATTGTGTTTTTAATATATAGTTAGCTTTTAATCGACATCATGCTAGATGACAATTCATTAAAAATATCATTTCATTGTCGGTGATGTGAACTGGATACCGTTTAATTAATAGTTACTGTATATCTATACTTTAATTGACCTTGGAGATCACAAGATCATTGAGACTAACCTAGTCATTAAAAAGTCTAGTCCAGCCCGGTCCGAACCGATATCAATAGATTGACAGACCGAATCAGATTAGGATCAGATTAAGAAAGGTGATACGAACGGAAATTGAAAAGATTGAAACTACATTGTATGCATAGTAAGGCCCTTGGTTCCAAATTTGTTACGCACAATGACAAAATCCGTGCATTATACTATAAAAAAGTACAAAGTAGTTAATCACGATTTCACATGCAAAAAGAGTTTCATCCTAATACTCTTTTTTTGGATTTTTTAATAATAATAGAGTGATAATACAACGGACTCATAGCCATTTTTGAATAGGCATTTAACTGTTTTCATAATCTCTAGACAAACTATCATTTGACAGGGCATAGTCATAATTACTTTAATGATTATTCAAAGTAAATCAAAACTTGCTTTTTTTAAATTACATGTTTCAAAATATTTGTGTACAATTTTTAATTGATAGTTACGAATTTTAAATAATTAACAATTAATTACTAAATTAATAACAATCGTTAACGCTTTAATTATAAATATTTGAGAAATTTAATTGCTAAAATACTATATATATTCATTAATCAAATTATTTTCTATATGAGTGCTGACAAGGAAAAATGTCCCTTCGGACTCTCAATTACATTTTGATCGGACATTTAATCATTAAGGGATTGTGTCAAAATGCAATTGGAAGTCAGAAAGGACATTTTCCCTTGGCAGCACTCATAATGTCAACATAAAAAATACCATTTTATTTCTGAGTTGTTGCAAGTCGTGTCAAAGTCAGTCGAGTCGAGTCGTTAACATCTCTAGATTAATAATAATAATAATTTCATGCATTCATATTAATAAATAATTGTCTTTAGGTATTTCACATGTATTGAATATCTAAATCATCTAAATAATTATTCATTAATATAAATGCATGAAATTATTATTAACCTGTGTATTTTATGATTAATCTTCGACTATATTATTCTATCATTCTATCAATCCCTTCTATCTTTTAATTAATAAAAATTAAGTTAAAAATTAAAAAAAAACTATATACTATGTATTACGTACGGTTTCATAATAATAAATATTTGCACACTTTGTATAAATTTTTTCCGGATTAATATAATAATAGAAAGTGTTCTTGTACAGTGTTTATGTATAGTAGATTACATGAGCGCTGTCTGCTAGTACTTCACTGTACCAGACTTATCTTAAAACTATATTTCCTATATTTCCTATATTTCCTATATTTCCTATATTTACATAATTACGATCATCTTTTTTCGATAAGCATTTTTGTGTATCCAGATCACTGATCGCACGGAAATCAAATTACGTAATATCACAATTTTTCAGATGCCCGTCTTCTCATATCACAAAAGTTTGAAACACTTCACTATCAAAATCTAAAACTCAATGTATCACTATAAAAATACTAAATGCATCACATACTCAAATATTTTTATAATGTAATTCTATTTTTACACGCATTAAATAACCTGATTTGTGAAGATTATAGCCAAATATATTTTAATTAATTAATAATTTAATATCGATATCGATATCGATATCGATATGGTAAAGAGTTACTAGAATTGAAAGCCCTAAACGGACATAGAAGAACTATTGGATTGGCATATCACTAAATTTGTTATGATAATCTGAATTCCACATAGACGCACAATATCAAAGGATATTTGGTGAATTTGATAATTTTCTCCAAATCTTGTATTATGATTCGTCTAAATTGTCATCTTCGACTTCCAGTTAGCATCACGAGACTCAGACGTGTGCTATTGTTTAATCCGGCCAATCATGAAAATTCAATATACTGTAAATTTATTATGACAGATAAGATTTAACCCGAATTTATTTACGTATTAAATCTGAATTATTTAGTTAGCGATCTTCGGCTTCGGGTTTTGTTAATATTAATACCGATGCGTGATTACGCAATCAATGACAAATCCTAAAACAATCCTAAAACAATCCTAAAACAATGGGTTTTCCATCACTACCCCAGTAGCACCGACCGATTTTCAAATATGCGCAATTTTTTAAAGTCATAAAACAGCACATTAGGATCAGGTTTACAATTATAAAGAGGCTTGTCTTATACTAAAATTTTGCAAGAAATTTTTTTTACTAGTGCGCAGAAGAAGGTTACATATATGAAATGTTGAGTTACATGCGGTTTTTAAAAAACGCATGATTTTCACGTTACACCTGATCTTGTAATCTAATTGGTCAATTCGATCACGCTTGCTTTGGACCTGTTTTATAACTTAAATTTGAAGAAAATAGGACTTAAATGCAAATTCTAGTCGCCGATTAAAAGTAGATTAGAATTAAACTAATATTTCTTCTATTTAACTCTCTAAAACCCACGTACTCTTATGATCGTGTTTCATAGGTTGTCCTAGTGTTACTATAGTTAGTGATAAGGTTTTGGTATATTTAGGTTACACATCTTGAAATTTGATTATGTAGGACAGTTTGTTACATACATTACTGTATATAGCGTAAATTATAACGATAACACAATCATAATAATTAAGGCAGAAAATTTTTAAATCCATATAACACAATAATAATAATTAAGGCAAAAAATTTAAATTAGGTTAAAGCTGTGTTATATTAGAGTCAGAATTTGAATAAAACAATTTATGCGGGATTGGATCTATTATTCATTTAACTGCCTATAGGGATGTTAAAGTGCCTGTCCGAACTGACTCGACTCCAGAAGTCGCAGTATCAGACTCAAACTTGAGTTTTTTAATCATGTAAAGTTGTACAAATCAAGATAGATAACAATAAAACTAAACCTAATTGTTGCATATATTGACATCGATATGCATATTGCTCTCAATTTGGTAAATATCATATGATATTACTGAAGTCGACTTAGAGTCGGCTTTAAACGACTCGACTCTAACTGACTCGAAAACCGACTAAACCGAGCTGTTTAACATCCCTAACTGCCTATAACTGTTTATTTATATTAGGTTAAACGAGTAAAAAAAACCTAAAAACCCGTTAAATTATTCGCTTATCCGTTTTTTTAAATTTTAGACAATTAATTATTTAATAATCATTTAATACCTCATGTGAAGCCAAACATAGAGATTTTATGGTCCGTCCTGGTTTGGTTTAGTCCAAAATCCAGGTTCAGAAGCAAATTGTAAACCGGATCAAGGTTAATGAACTGTCCAAATTAGGTTCGGTTTAGCCAATAGAAATGCATAATTTAAATATTCATTAAACTGATACCCGAAACATGCTTTACAAGATGCGAAGAACATACCGTATAGCGTTCTATAAAGTGCCCTGGGTGAGTATATAATATATCGGTATAGTAAAACTTGTTAAATAAGTATAGCAGTGTTAAACACAATAACAATATCATAATGTCATATGATATAGAATCGTCATATGCGGCAAATAAAGAAAAACTATTTACAAGTTTGCGCACTACTTACAAAATTTTAATTTGTTCTGTGTGGCATCCGCTCATTTGTTCAAAAGAAAATACGCACAAAATTTTGTTTCTGCGTGCTGCGTACAATCCACACAGTCACTGGCCTTATGATATAAAATCATGACAATTATTATTATATACATTCGGATTTATGTGAATTATGCGATAAATTTTGGTAGGGATGTTAGTTCGGACCGGGCTTGGGACTGGACTTTTGAGGAACAGTTCAGGACTAGTTCGAACTAGTCATATAATTTTTGATCTCAAGGTCTTCTAATTGGCTAATTTACGTCGATCCAAATGCGATTATAATATTGAAACAAATTCATGTAATTAGAATTAAAATACAATGAATCGACCAGGGCGGCCTTCAAATTTGCGGGTTATATGGGTAGCGCCACTGCCGCAGTTGCATATCAGGTCAAAAATTTTTTTAACATAGTTATAATTTTGCTCCTTTGTTTTTCCTAATTGGAAATAGTTTTGTACTAAGTTTGTACTAGGAAAAGTATATAAAAGAGTATTGAACTGTAATATAACTTCTTTTTCTAGCATGTCTCCACCAATGCCTCATTCAAAGATCTTCAAAACACTTGT